CTTTAGGCTGGATGACCTGAAAAGACCTGTTACTGGCAGTGGCCTGTGCTGTCGGATGGCTTTTTCTGTAATGAGGTTGGTGGCCTGGACCTCAGGCACTGCATTCTAGCCATGGGTACCTTCCTCGCCTCCTCCAGGAAGCTCTCCCTGAACGACTGTTCTCCCTGGGTTGGACTAGGAGAACTTCTGGAATTCCACAGCGTGTAGCCTATTTCCTTGTCAGTCTCCCACATCCAACTTGGCCAAGATCAAGTTTTCTCGGTAGCTGCTTGGTGCCCGGCGTAGCGTGAGAATCACGTCACAGTCACCGTGTGCATGTACCTCTCCCACATTCCCATCACACAAACTGCTCCTTCTCGTGCCTTATCAGTGCTGTTGGAGTATTGAGATTAGTATCCTCTTTTGGGAGAAAAGGAAACAGGCTCAAAGGAATGAAGCCACGTGCCTCTTTCACACGGTAGAGGTAGCTAAGCTGGCGTTTAAACTCAGGTGTCTAAGAGCCGTGACATTTTGCTGTTATGTCCAGCCAAGCGCTGCTCAGTGACTGGTTTCCCCCAGAAATCCCATCTCCTCTGGGCTGCTTATTCCCTGTTAGCCCCTCTGGATCTATTCTGTGCCCTTCTCGGCCCGGCCCTGCCCTGCTCCCCGCTAGTGTGACCCCTAGGCACACTTGCTCCCTGGCTCCTATGAGCTTGGGTTCCAGTCGAGTCTGGACGATGGGATGAGAGGCTTGGGGTGGAGAGCAGTTTGCTCCCCCCTTCCTTCTCCCTCTCTGCTGTTTTGGCGCCGGCCGTCCTCTACTCAGCCGTCAGCTCCCCTGGGCAGGCCCTATCCAGATTTTAAGGTCTCCTTGCATTCCTCTTAAACTCCTCCCTCCATTTGCCCCTTCAGGCCAAGGGTGGTGATGGGCTTCCCACTGTTGCTGACCCCAGGATGCTTCCAGGCCTTGAAGTTCCCTTAAATCTGTCTGCATCTCAGCAGACAGACCCTTCTTTGAACCCCTTTTGAACTCTTGAAACGTTTGTCTTTAAGCTTGCTTCTCTGACGGGCCAGCTGTTTCTACTCAGGACACAGATTGCTACATGTGCTCCAGCCTCACCCGTGTTTCCCTTTCTCTTTTCTTTCTTCTGACGTACAAAGAAGTTACACAGCCTGGCCAAACCACAGCTCCAAACGTCCCCACCTGGCCACTCTCCTGGCAGCTTGGTTTAACTATAACGGAGTGAACAGTATCAACCTTTTTTTCTCTTGAGTCCTACTATAAGGCAGGCACTGGCCCCTGACTGCTCAAGTCATCGGACCCCTCTGGACCGTGCCATTCCACTCGATGGTCTCCTAAGTCAACAGATGCATTCTCTGGCTTCTGCCAACATAGAGGATCTCAGACATTGTTTTGGGCAGAGGTAGTGTTTCCCTTTGGCACCCAGGAGAGCTGACTTACTGGATGCCACACAACGCCTCATTCAAGAACAACCATCTTTTTCTGGCTAAAGAGGGACAGAGTCTCAGAGCGTCAACTGGACACTGCACTTTGGTTCTATAGGGACCAGCCTCCTGGTGGTCTTGGGGTGACAGCCTCCCATGCCCTGCAGCTCTCTTCTACTATGAACAGCATTCCTGGGTCATCTGCATATTTCTACACTTTCTGAAGGATGGCATGTGGCCATAGATGCTGCGGCCTGAATCACAGTCTGTGGCTGACCCTCATGGGGCGGTAAGAGTTACACGTTAGCAGTGGCTTGCTCACAGCTTCTCTTCTTTGAGGCTGGCCAGCATTGCTTAGAAGGCAGCTTTCCAATGAAACCAATGGAAAAGCTTGTTTCCTCCTCTGGAATGTAATACTTTGGGCTGAAATGATTAAATCAGTCATCCCAGATTATGCAGGAGCATCTTTGAGAAAAGACTATGACTTGAATGGCACATCTTTCAGACTTTAAGCTTTTTGATGTTCCTAGTCCAGAATGATAGGTTTTCCCCTTGACACCTGTCACCCCCCCACCCCATTGCACCATTGTGCCCCTAGACCCCCCAGCTGGCCTACTCTCTGCCCCCAGCAGGACCTGAGAGATAGACAATCCGGCAGGAGATTCTATCTTGAGCATCGAAAAAGACTATTTCTAAACCCAAGAAAGGGGGCTGATTAAATAAAGTATTGCACATACACATACAGGAATATAATACAACCATCTATAGCCTCACGCTGCTGTGAATTTATTAACAATAAATAAAATCATAACGTCCTGGGAGACTCAAAATAATGCCATCTTGTTAAAAAATATGAAACTATATACCCCCAAATGTTAACATTTTAGAGTGGTTATTTCTACAGGGTTACAGGTAATGGTAATTATCTTCTATCCTTTATCTGTGTTTTCTAAGTTTTTTCAATGACCATGTGTTAGTTATGTAATTTAAAGAGTTCCTTTTTTTTTTTAAGAAAAAGAATGTTCTCAAATTATCAGTGTACCACGATCATAATTATCTAAAAACATGTGGCTTGAGGTTGTTCCCAAATAAACATAAAAAGGGACAATTCATTCCCTGGAAATATTGAGAGGCAAACCCACACTGGACCTCTGTGCCCCTCACATCCTACGTTGCCTTTGCATGTGGCAGCGAGGGGTGTGATGGATCAAGGAGCTCAAGTCAGAGCTGCAAGAGCTGTCAGATGCTCGCAGAGGGTCCCCCAGGTGAGCGAGGAGTCTTGCTTACCTGGAACGCACACGCTTCTCCTTGGGCCCGGAGCTGGCCAACAAGCAGATAGGTGGTGAGTCCCGCCAGGATGGGGAGTGCCACCAGGCAGCAGGTGAGGGCCCAGCACGCACTGCTGCTGCTCCTCCTGGCTGCAAGCCTGGCTCTGGCGTGGGGCCCGCAGCTGCCATCCTCTGGCAGCATTTCCACGCTGGCTGTTTCCCCGAAGCCCAGCCCCAGATGCTCTGCCATGCTCCTGCCGGTCCTGGAGAGTTCTCTGAGTCCTCCTGGCCAGAGAGACCCCCCATTAAATACAAGAGCAGCTGTCACAGGGGGTGAATTAATCGCTGCCTACTCCTCCCCCTGGCCTCTCTCCCTCCCCCCTCCACAACCCTCTACGCCCTGCCCTGCTAGGGAAAGCACCGCCTACAACAGAAACCAAATTTGGCTTAAGGAAAAAAAAAAAGAAGAAGGAGAAATCTTTCCCAAGCATATTTATATACAATGTACTCATGTGCTCCTTCCTTCATTTACAGAAGGAAGTTAGGAAAGTCCCTGGAGGAGGAGAAAAAAGAATTCATCAAGTCAGTGGGTGGGGCTAATTACAATCTACCTGCTCCCTGGGCTGGAGTCCTGCCAGCTGTGCCAGTCTGGGGAGTGTGCTCCTTCTGGAAGTGAAAGTGAGGGATGGGGAGGTGTGGCTTGCAGACTGGGAAATGGAAAACACTTTTCTGTCACCCCTTTGCAAAATGCTGCCAAGCTCTCTGTCTTTTTGAGCTTCCTAGGAGCTCATTCTCATTGCACAGATGGGAATACTGAGGTTCTGGAAGGCGAAGGCACTTGCCCTCGGTCATCTGAGGATTAGGACACAGAAGCTAAGAAGATGATCTAGTTCGTCTGAATCATGGTTCAGGATTCTTGCCTCTGCCCTACAACTGCCTGTGAAAGGAAAATGTGTTTCTTGCTTGTGTTGACCAAGGGTCAACAACAGAACCCCAAAAAAGGCTATGAGGTCATAGAGGTGACTGTTGGTCACAGGAGGACATTGACTTCTACTCTCTGATTAGTCCAAAGTTAATTGAGCACTAGTAATTGGCCTTGTCACAGCTGGGTGTGTATGCGGACCACAACTTGTAATGAAGCCTACACTTACTTTGTGCTATCACTCTTCTAAGTGAGTTAAATGCACCCATGAAATGATTCAATCCCGAGATAACCTTTTGATGTAGTAATGTTACTCTTCCCACTTGACAGGTGAGCAAAGGGAAGGATACCGAGTATGCTGTAAAGCCAGGACTAGGCCTCAGGCAGGCTGGCTCCAGAGCTTCCTAACCATTGCACCACACGGCACGTGCTGCCGTATAATGCCCGTGCGCGGAGACCTGCACCCATTCTACTCAGGAGGAGGTCATTCCTTCCCGGTAGGGGTTGAGGAGGCTTCCTGGAGAAAGAGGTGGTATTGCGACTAGGCCTTGAAGCTTAGGGAGGGTAATAGTGGAAAAGAGTAGAGGACCCTGCCAAAAGATGGGTTACAGAGAGGGGAAATCTTCAGGATGTGCTGTGGCATGTGGTGGCAACCAGTCTGACTGATGGCTCCATTCCCTTGCTGTGCCTGCATCCATCACAGCCTAAGCCCTTCAGGCTACTCAGAAAGGCCTTTCACCACCTGGTCTGTGCCCACCACCATCCCTCCCCAATGTCCAGCCTCATCTCTTGCTACTTTGCCAAGCTTCAATTCTCCCAAAAGCGTTATGGTCCAGCTCCACTGTTGCATATGCTGTTGCTTCCACTGTGAAAGCTTCTAGTCTCTTCCCTTCATATCATCACGCTCTCCTATTTTCAAAACTTCATACAGAAAGCTTTCTGGCATCTCCCTGCCTCCAAGATTGGATGAGATACGCATCTGTGTTCTTGTAGCTTCTCATTTGTCCTCTATCATTGACTATTTCATACTAGACTGTGATTGACTATTTTTCCATTTCCCCAATTAAATCATCAGATCTAAAAGGGCAGGTACTAGGTCACATCCCTTCCCTGTGGCTGTAGCTCCTAACATAGCGACTGTCACGTAATAGACTCTTAAGCAACATCTATTGAAATAAGCATCTGATATATTTCCAGAGAGTCCCAGCACAGGATGATTTTTATGTTGCCTGGTTACACGTTCTTGGTTTAACAAACCTAGTGAGAAACTTTCCCTTCAGAAAAAATATTTGCTGTTGTAACTTTTAAACACGTAATTACATTTAATATTGGATCGTCTTGAAGGGGTTTATGAATATGTTCTTATTCTTTTATTTCTTTTACAGAAAGTTGGTGTGCTTGATCAAACCAGGGTCTTAAAAGTGGTAAATGTTTGGGTTCAAATGAAGAGATCCATATTATCATCCACAATATGAGAAGCCCTCAAAAGATGGTGAATACTAAAAACACCGGAGTGGGAATCTGGACACCTGGCTTTTAGTTCCTCTGCTGTGTGACCTTGAGAACTCGAGCCGACTCTCCCTGTTCTAAGGTATCTGGTTATTTGCAAAACGTGATAACTAATTGTTACAATTTTATTTAAAGCAAGGTCAACGGATTCTGAGTTTGTGCCTGGGGAAGGTCCTATGGGAAGAGAATAAGAGTTTTGGGGCATGGACCCATAGACGTCTGTTTGAGATAACTGTAGATGTAGATTTTCTTCTTTGTTTTTTTTTAATATTTTATTTTATTTATTTATTTATTTATTTTTTGAGGAAGATTAGCCCTGAGCTAACTACTGCCAATCCTCCTCTTTTTGCTGAGGAAGCCTGGCCCTGAGCTAACATCTATGCCCATCTTCCGCTACTTTATACGTGGGACGCCTACCACAGCATGGCATGCCAAGCGATGTCATGTCCACACGCGGAATCGGAACCAGCGAACCCCAGGCCGCCGGAATGCTCGAACTTAATCGCTGCGCCACTGGGCCGGCCCTAGATGTAGATTTTCATGCAGCAGTAGGAAATAATACAGAGACCCTGTGACCCTTTACTCGGTGCTCCTTCCCCAAAGGCAACACTTTGCATAACCATAGTGTAACATCACCGCCAGGAAATTGACATTGACATTGACAGTCAGATTCCGCCAGCTTTATATGTACTCATTCGTGTACATGTATTCAGTTCTGTGCAATTTATCACATGCGTAGATTCGTGTGACCGTCACCACGGTCAAGATACAGAAAAGCTCCATCACAAGGATCCCCTATGCTCCATTTTATGGTCGCAGCTGCCACCCTCTCTTTCCTCATCCCTTAACCCCTGGCAACCACTAATCTGCTCTCTGACTCGATAATTATGTTATTTCACAAATGTTATGTAAACGGAATCATGCAGTCTGCATCCTTGTGAAGTTGGCTTCTTTTCACTCAGTCTAATTTCCTTGAGGTTCATCCAAATTATTGCATGATTAGGAGTTCATTTCCTTCGATTGCTCAATGGTAATCCATGGTATGGGTATAACATTGTTTGTTTAACCAGTTGCCCACTGAAGGACGTTTGGGTTATATCCAATTTTGAGTTAAAATGAGTAAAGCTGCTATGAATATCAGTGTGCAGGTTTTTGTGAGAACATGTTTTCATTTCTCCGGTGTAAATACCCAGGAGGGGAATTGCTGAGTCGTACCATAAGCACCTGTTTGGTTTTGTAGGGAACTACCACACTCTTTTCCAGAGTGGTTGTATCATTTTACTTCCCACCAGCGATGTGCGAAAGATCTAATGCCTTCTCTGTGCCCTCTCTCCAGCATTTGATGTTAACACTGTTTTTTCATTTTAGCCGTTCTGGTAGGTGTACCGTGATATCTATGGTTTTCATTTGCATTTCCTTAACGGCTAACAATGTTGAACATCTTTTCACGCACTTATCTGCCATCTGTATAATCTCTTTGGTGATATAGGCATTTTGGCTGCTACAAGGTACTTCTTGCTTCCTTCTGGATTCTCAGCGGATTCCCAGGTAGACGGTGAATCGCTTCCAAGGTAAACGATGAGTTATTGCACTTGAGTGCTGACTAGATAGTGTTCTAGGTATTGGGGATTCAGCGGTGAGGAGAGCAGACGAAAATCCCGGCTTTCATGAAGTTTATATTCCAGTGGGGAGGGAGATGGCCAGTCAACACAGGACGTAAGTTAAATTTATAGTATATTAGATGGTCTTAGAGCTTTAGGAAAAAACAGAGATGGAAGATAAGGAGTTACTTTAGTTGTAATTTAAAACGGGGTGGTCAGAAAAGGCCTCAGTGAGAGGAGACATTTGAGTGAAGACCTGAAGAAGTGAGGGGAGGCCCTGTGGGTGTCTGGTAGAAGGATGCTTGTGGCCTTGAAGGAGGTATGGTCAAGGAGCTTCAAGGTGGCCAGGATGGTTGGAGCAATGAGTAAAGAAGAGAGTGGGGGCCACATCAAGGTGGCCAGGAAGGCTGGAGCAGTGAGTGAGGAGGAGGTAGGGGTGATGAGGTCAGAGTGGTATCGGAGGGGGCTGACCGTGCAGGGCCTCCAGGCGTGGGTAGGACTTAGCTTCTTCACTGAGGTGGGGAGTCTTTGGGAGGTGTAGGGCAGAAGGGTGGCAGTTTCTGATTTCACTTCAAAAGCATCATCCTGGCTGCTGTGTTGAGAGGAGCCTGAAGGGAGAAGGATGGAATGAGGGAGACCAGTCCGGAAACCACTGCGATAATCAGGCTAGACATGACGGTGGGTTGAAGGGAGTGCAGGCAGAGGGTCACTAGAAAGGATGATTCCGGAAATATTTTGAATGCATGTGGGGGGAGAGAGAAAGAGAAGACAAAAGTCTGCGTCCAAGGTTCTTAGCTGGATCCTCAGAAGGATGGAAATGCCTTCAGAAGACACTGGGAAGACTGTGGGAGGGAGCTTGAGAGCTCGGATCAAGACTTGCAACATTTAAGGTGGCTTTTAGACAACCAAGTGGCGATGACAAGATGAGGAGGCCGTTGAATGATGATCTGGGGCCCTAGGGAGAGGCCTGAGTGGTGATATTAATTTGAGAGTCACTCTTGGTGTAGCACCTATCGCATAGTTAGTGCTCCAAAGTGGAGGCTAATCTTTTGAGTACAGGTCCTCGAGTCCTTGTTCCAGAGTCCTTAGGGCCGGGTTTCAGAAAAGCTTTAAGCTGAATGATGTGAAATCACCAATATTGACCATTTTTGACCTACAGTAGTAGTAATTTCATACGGTTTACCCTAATAATACACTCTATATATCTTCTATTACGTAACACTCTCGATGGGGTCTGGAGCAGCACCCTATAATCAAACCCAGAAATGTTTCTGCAGCCCAACATACACATACTGAGTGGGATAGATACGAAGGACATGCCACACACATGACCTCAGCTCAGCTTTTGCTGCCAAATGCATCATAACAGCTTTCAGATTGTTAGAGCTTTTTGGATTTTGGACGTGATCTTGCATTATTATCATTGTTGTTGTTATTATTATTTTACAATTCTGTGTGGCCTCCAGTGAGTTGAAATAGGCCAGTGAGCAGGAGGCACTGCCAGGCATATTTCAGTTCAATTTTGAGACCGTCAATGCTATTCACTTGTCCATAAGGCTGCTTCCAAGGCTGGGAGCTCTCGATCCCAAGAGTAAATACAGGACCCGAATAACCACCTCCTGGGGATATTTTAGAGGAAATTTAATTATTGGAGAGATGATTGGAGTTGATGTCTTTTAGAGCACCTGGTCTCACTGAGGAAAGATAACTCTAAATCATTTCTGCTCTTCAGGCCTCATTCTCTCCATCTGCAAAGTGGGGCCATGGATTTGAACTTTGTGGCTGCTGAAGATGCTTCTGGCATTCATGTTTTCAGGATCTCTCTGCTTCTCTGTGTCTTCTCTTTGCCCACTGGGTGTGCCCCCCAACCCATCTCTACACGCTTGTCTGCTGAGAAACCCTTTTTCCAGACTGTACCATGGCCATTTCCCCATGATGCACAAGGAAGGAGTCACATGGCTGGCTGGGATGGGGAAGCCGACGTTTTCCCCGTTGCTTCCCAAATTGGGAAAAATGGTTATTTTTGAGTAATTACTTCTTGACATCTAAGTGTGTTTTGGCTTGTGCAACATCCATGGGCTTCCTGCAAGAGTGTGAATCTGGGGCACAGCTGCACCTTCCTGGGAAGCTGTTGATGGTTGCAGGGCCTCCCCTTTTTGGTTCTCTTGGGAAAGGAGCTATCTGATGAAAGACTTGTTCAATGACTGACACACAGCCCTCTAAGGACCAACATAAAAAATTGCAACCATTTTGAATGGAAACCTTTCTAAAATATAGTTTACACTTTAAAGTAGTTTAATTTTTCTGAGGATAAAATAACATATTTTGAATTTGGGGAACTGAAAAAAAAATAGGGTGGGGAATAATTATTCACACTCTCTAAACTGAGAGTTGGCAAAATTTTTCTGTAAAGGGTCAATGGGAAGTATTTTAGAATTTGTGAGCCAAGAGGCAACATTGAAGATTCCATGTAGGTGTTTATATAACCATTTACAAATGTAAAAGTATTCTTAGTCTGCAGGCCATACACAACCAGGGGTAGGCAGACTCGATTTTGCCAATGGGTGGTGTTTTCTGATCTCTGCTCCAAACCCTCTAGAAAGCGGTATTCACACTTAAAAGTATTTCTTTCCAATTTAATTTTCTATGCTTCTCTTTTAAACCATCCTTGGGATCACCTTGTATATCTCATTTTGATTCCTGCTCATCTCACTGAATGGCAACGTGTCATGAATCAAGTTGTGAAGGACGGCGTAAAACTTCTCTCAGGTGAAGTGCTGGCGTCCACTTAAGCAACATCTACTTAAAATGCATTTGGATCATTTCTTATTAGTTTATTAATAAAGCATCAGTTGTTTTTTTGTATTTTGGGTCTTGCCTGGAGTCTCAGCAGGGACATCTCCAGGGCGAAGGTTATGAACCTATTTGATGCTCTTTCTATGTAGAGGTGGTCCCATACATCACCCATTTTTGCCAGGATTGGATATTTCCTAGAACAACAGCCTCATTTACATTACTTGGTGGGATCCCAAAGCAGATGCAGCTGTGCTTGGGTCATTCCAGTTTCCATGGTGAATGTCACCGAGTCTGTGCCCGGGTCCCCTGCAGCCATGGAATCACACAGAGCAATGTTGCCCATCTGCTGAGTGTGCCTCCAAATTAGGCTTTTAGGATTCTCTCTTCTTTTCTTCCTCAATACTCCCTTTCTCTCTGCTTTGCTTAGATCTAGCTCCCTTTCGGTTTATCAAAATTCTCAAGCAGGTTGGAGCCAACTGGTCCCCTCCTAGGCACAGGCCCAAGAGAGGCTCTTGCACGTGTTCAACGGGAGGTACATATAAGGCCCTTTGTTGTAGCAGTTGTCATGGTAGCAAAAACCTGGATGCACATCAGATGCTTGTCACCAGGAAAGGCAATGACTAAAGGGTCGCAGGGCCACACAATGGGGTGTTGTACCGTCAGCCAAATGAAGGAACAATGGCAATACGCCTCCGTATGGATGAATCTTAGCAAGATGATATAAAGTGAAAAAGTAATTCCCATAGATTATATGCAGCAAAGGTTACATAAAGTTAAAAACAATGCAAGCACATGCACGCACACACACTCAAATGCATATAGATATAAGTAATTAAAAAGAGAGTAAAGCAATGATGAACACAGGACTCAGGATGATGGGTACCCTGAGGTGGGTGGTTGTGAAGGGTTTCATATGGCATCCTATGAAACCCCCAAGCTCCTGGCTTTCCTTTTACATCATGGGTTAATAGGTACTTATAACGTCCTAACTCATTAATTAACCGACTAAATAAAAAGCAGTCTAAGCATGGACTGCGAAGACGGTGTGCCATGATCCGGGGATTATGACAATCCCCGTTCTGTCTTTCTGAGATCCAAAAATAGACAAGAAAGGAGAGTCAGTGGATGCTGCATGTGATCCTGATAGACTTTCCAGTGACTCATGTGGATAAGCATTAGGACAGAGATTTCAGGGTGACTGCTTTGTCTCCACAGGGAAATGTTTTTATTTTCTTCTTAGTTCTTGATTCTGGTCCAGGCAGCTGATGTTGCCAGGGAGCTGAGGTCTTGACGAACCCGCTCTCATTGTTAAACCTGAGAAGCATCCCCTTAAAAGGGCCTGGAGTTATGACTGTGTATTTGTTGACCATTTGGTTACAGTAAGAATTTAGGAGGCCTGTCTCCAGAGAGATGACATGCTCTGGTTGGGAGAAGAGTGCTCAGGTGGAATGAGGGTTGGCAGAGGCCCAGGAGTGAAGGAAGGGAGTGCAGAGGGAGAGGGGTGAACCATGTGGTGACAGTGTCTGCAAGCTTGGAGCAAGATGGAGCCCCTGAAGTCTTGACCAAACAGCCCGACTGTTTCCTTGGACTTTTTCTCCCTTCTCTGGCCTTTACGTTATTACTCGGTTTCGACCAAGAATGCCACTAAATTGTGGAGCCTGGCTGTGGGTGTGGGCATTTCCTCATTCCTTAGGTATCTACTTGGTGGCTCAGACTCAACCAGAAACTGGAGCTGGAGATGTGACGGCCCAGAGCTGAGGCTGAAGATCGCCGTTATTTAGTCTGTGATTGTAGCCCTACCTCCCAACACGGACAGTATTGGCCCTTAGTCCTGAATTGGGTTGAGTGGATCTTGCAATAAGAGAGCAGAGGGCTAAGATATGGATTTGCATTTCTGGTGGCAGCCCCAGGCAAAGTCGGAGCGCCCTCCCCGCAGCATGTCCAGACCACACCTCAGTTCACATTGCATTGTCATGATTTATTTACATCGCTCTCCTGCCCACTAGCCTGTGAACATCTCAAGGGTAGAGACTATGCCTTTTTCATTATTAGATCTCCCAAGTTCAGGGCATAGTGTAGATGCCAAATAAATGTTTGGGGGAACACCATGCGTTACATCTTGTCAGTGCCCAGTGAGTGGGACTTCTCAGTGAGCACAGGTTATTACTGTTAAG